AAACATACCTTTTTCATTGTAAATGGCTTCAACTTCTTAAGTTTAAAGAGTCATATTGGCAAACCTTTTCAAAAAACAACCAAAAAAATATGCTGTGTAGAACTATATCTAACTGAAGAAAGAGTTCATGGACTACAAAAGTCAACAGATTGAAAGCAGTATTCCATGCCAAAAGACCCCAACAACGGGCAGGGTAGCTGTCTTATTTTCAAAGTTGACTTCAAGCTAAAACTGATTGGAAGAGGCAGAGAAGATCACTATATATTAGTTGTATGACTCAGTAGGAAGAGATAGCAATTTTAAATGTATATTGTCTTGGTTACTTTTCTCTCATCGCTGGGACAAAATACCCAGCACCCAAAATTAACAAAGGAAAGGTTTATTTAGCTCACAGTTAGTGGAGGTTCCAGTCTGTACTCAGCTGGAGTGGTATGTGGAAGAGGGCAGCAGTTCATGGTGGCAGAAAACAGCAAAACATCAAGAGCAAACAGGAGTAGTGGCAATAGTGGCTACAGAGAGGAAGTCTGTTTCCCTTGTGTTGTATTCAGGCTATCTCCCCCAGACATGGCGTAGCACTTACACCCATAATCCCAGTGGATCATGAGTTAATCACAAACTCTTAGAAGCTCTCCCCATGACCGGATGAGGCTTTGGAGGTGACAATTAGACACAAGCTATATATATATATATATATATATTCATTCATTGTTGGGGGGATCAGGTTTGCCATTCTGAGTCTTTTTATTAGGAAGTTGATGTCATTTATATTGAAAAGGTAAAACATCAAATAATTAAATCATTAAATCATAGCTCAGAATAAATGGATATAACAAATATCTGTAGTCTTCTACCCTACTGTAATACAATATACATACTTCTCAGCAGTACACAGAACATTCTTCAAATAGGCCACATACTAGCCCATAAAGCTTGCTTAAATACGAAGAATTGATACCCCATGTATATTAGTGTCCTGAAATTAGAAATTAATGCTAAAACACCAAAAATTTGGCACACACACTTAGACATTAAATAACATACAGATATTCAGTGGGTTAGAGGTTAAATTAATGAAGTTAAATAGCTCCTAAAACCAAGTTATAATGCCTAGACAGCATATTGCCTCCTATGAGGCAGTGATAGGAGTCATAAGAGGGAAGTTTATTACTGAGCCTACTCATAACAGAACAAGCACAAATTAACATTAAAAAAAAAGAATGGTCTAAACCCCAATAAAGTATGAGGAAGGAAATTATAAAGAGCAAAAGTTAATGAAATTGAGACTAATAAAGGAACAATGAAAGAACTGGCTTCCAAAAAATAAGCAAAATTAATGAACCCTTAGCTAAATTTAAGAAGGGAAAAAAAGACTCATTAATGCAAATAAGAAAAAAGCAAAATCACAAATGGACAGTGCTAAAATCCAGGTTAGTGGTAACTTATGAAAATTTGAAGGCCAGCCAAATAGCTCAGCAGATTAAAGTGCCTGCTTCGGCAGATGGAGGGGCCAGGAGTTCAATCCCCAGGCCTCCAGAGCCAGCCCCACTCCGGCGTACACTGAGATGGTGATTGAGACTGGGCGTGGTGGTGCCTGCCTGTAATCCCAGCACGTGGGAGGCTGTAAATAGAAGTATCACTACAAGTCTGATCTGTGTAGTGAAACCCCATAGTAGACCCTGTCCTAAATACAAAAAAGAAAAAGAAAATTTGTACTTCAACAAATCTGAGAATCCTCAACACATGCATGGATTCTTTGACCTGTGCATCACCAAAACTTGACCCATAATAGATTTAAAAAAAAAATAAAAACCTTGAGCAGTTAAGTAACAGGTAATTAAATTGAGAGAATAACAACACCAAAACCCTATCACCTAGGAACTGCTGAATTCTACCCAGTCTTTCAGACTATGTATTATAGAAGATTTAATACTAATATTTTCAAATTCTTTAGTTGAAAGGGGTAGAGTACTTTCACACTGATTGCTACAAGCTAGCATTACCTTGATTTATTTTTTTTCAAAGTTTTATTGATAAACAGATAGCAATGAGACAGTTTCAAATCAAATCGGAAGTACAGTTTCAATAAATGATACACTGCATATATTCTTCTTAGTGGTTAATTGCTGTACAAGATGCAGACTTGTGATCCTACTTACAAACACCATTAGAAAAAATCATT